AAAAGAATTTGTGATGCAATAAGAAAACTAGAGATGACCTTCAAAAATTTCAAGTTTAAAAATGAGCAAACAACATTAATTTATATTTCAGTTATGTATTAATGTATGTATATATATTTATAAGTTTTCATATAGTGATTATTAATTTATAATAGTATTGGGACCATATTTTACATAGGAGTTTAAAAAAAGTTATTAACTTATTATCTTATCGAATTGTGTCAATTTTAACACCGGCCCAACTCGGGACCGGAGAAATTTATTAATTTATCGTGTTTATTAATTTATCGAGTATTAATTTATAGAGTTTCTACTGTACAAGGAACAAGAGAAAACAAGATGAGTTTAGTCCACTTCAACTTTATATTACAGTCTACTAAGCTCAAGTAGTTGTATATAAACCCATCACTCTCCTTCATCAGTTTCACTATCTCATCATCCACTCTCACATTTTCATAGTATAGAAGAAGATATGGTTAGCAACATGAAATCATTCATCTTCTTGTTCATTCTCCTTGTTCTATCAAAAACCGTAACATCAGCTAGAAAGCCATCCAAATCACAGCCAAAACCATGCAAAACCTTCGTTCTCTACTACCACGACATAATGTTTGGCGTTGACGACGTGCAAAACGCGACTTCCGCAGCCATTACCAACCCGCCGGGCCTCGGGAACTTCAAATTCGGAAAACTCGTGATCTTCGACGATCCAGTCACCATAGACAAAAACTTTCAGTCCGAACCTGTGGCAAGAGCTCAAGGTTTCTATTTCTACGACATGAAAAACGATTACAACGCTTGGTTCGCGTACACGCTCGTGTTTAACTCGACTCAGCACAAAGGGACGTTGAACGTAATGGGAGCGGATCTTATGATGGAGAAGACAAGAGATTTGTCTGTGGTCGGAGGGACAGGTGACTTCTTCATGTCTCGTGGGATTGTTACGTTTGAGACTGATGTCTTTGAAGGTGCCAAGTATTTTAGGGTCAAGATGGATATTAAACTCTATGATTGTTACTAAAAAAGGATAATTAAATGGCCCAAGAGACAAGAAAGAAGAGAGTTTGATTTTTACTTTACAGTTTTTGATAATTGAATAAGTTTAAGTTGTGTAACAATCTTTTTTTGTGTGAATTTAATGTACTATGTTATATTTATATGACGTCATGTGTTACAGTCCTGTCTGGATGATCTCACAGTAAAACGTGTCCACAGATTGCCACGTACATTCTTCTTCTTGTTTTTATTCACAAAATAACAAACACTCTCGAGTAATTAAACAAAAAACATGAATTTAATCGCCGCATCAATAAAAATTACAGTATTTTGGCAACAATCTCTCATTTTTGCGGCCACTTAATGGAGGAACAATTTGGAAAGATGAATAAAATCAAACAACAGGTTAGGTTCTGTGATGATTGAATTAATAAAAGCAAAAACATTTTTGTTTTGGTTAGCCGCTCAAAAGAAATGAAAAGTAGTAAAGAAGAAGGTGAAGAGGACGAAGATGGAGAAGAGGAAGGAGGAGAGGAAGAAGAAGGGCAAAAAGGGAAGAGATTTATCGAAAAGCTAAGAAGAAGAGCTGTTTTTGGAGCTGTAGGCCATAAAAGTGTCTCTCGCCGACCTTCCACTCCGGCGCACATTAGCGTCGACCCCAATAACCCTTCTTCTTCTTCATCTAAAATTCCACCTTCTTCTAGAAAGCTCGCAGCTTCTCTCTGGGAATTTTATCAGTATTACGACCAAGACCACCACCACCACCACGAGATTCCTCCTCCTCCTGCTGCTAAAATGCACCGTCTCCGTCACGGCCATGGAAAGGCGGTGGTTAGAGACAATGGTCTTGATCTCACTGATGACCAGGTCTCTCTCTGGAATCTGGAAGTTTTACACTTTTCTGGATTAGTTTGTTTTTTTAGTTGATTACAGTATTATTCAATGAAGCTGATTGGTTTTAGGATTTGGGCATTAGCTAAAGTCTGGATTTTTTTGGGTGACAAGGAATCATTTTGCGCTTGGTTTTATTGTCAAAGTTTGAATTTTTGTGATATGGGTTGTGACTGAATTGTTCTCTTTCTACCTTTGAGTCTTGGGTTTTGGTCAAATCCAGATTTTTCCATATATTGGTGGTGACAAAGTGTTCTGTGTTTGCCTAAATTGCTCTGTTCTTGGTTTGAGAGTTTTGCTGAGATTAGGTTTAAAAATGTGATCTTTAGACTTTAGTTCAACTGCAAAATGTGACCTTTTTGCTCTGTTTTTTTATTCTAACAATGTGCTGTGGTTTCTTTGTGTCCCAGCCAGAGAGTGCAGGAAGTATAAGGAGACAGATCAGTCAAATGCTGACGAAACATCATCAATTAACCGAAAGAAACGACCATTCTTCGCAGCCTCCATCTCCTGCAAGAAGAAGAAGGAGACGAGCTGGTGGTGAGGCTAATCACAATCTCAAGACATCAACCGAACTTCTCAAAGTGCTAAACCGGATATGGAGCCTCGAGGAGCAGCATTCGGATAACATCTCCTTGATCAAATCTCTTAAAACCGAGCTTTCCCATTCACATGCACGGATCAAAGAGCTAGAAGAAGATCGGAAACTGAGGAGACGTGCTGAGAGTTTGCATAGGAAAGTGGCGATGGAGCTCTCTGAAGTGAAGTCTAAGATGGAGAGAGAGACTAAGTCGAAGAAGATGCTTGAGAGACTGTGTGATGAGTTTGCGAAAGGAATCAAGAGTTACGAGAGAGAGACTCATGGTTTGAAGAAGCAGAAGAATTGGGATGATGAAGAAGAACAAGAGGAGCAGATGGTGCTTTGTATGGCGGAGTCATGGCTTGACGAGAGGATACAGAGCGGTGACGGATCGAAGCTCGAGTTTGAGATTGAAGCGTTTCTTAATAAGAGTAAGGAGACGAAGAAGAATCGCCGGAGTTCGCTTGAGTCTGTTCCGTTTAACGCCTTGAGCGCACCGATTCAAGAAGAAGAAGACGATTCGAATTGCTTCGAGCTCAAGAAACATCATAGAGAAGAAGCTGAGAAACAGAGAAGAAGGAATCAAAGTTTACAGGTGAAGTTTGAGGATCAAATGGCTAAAGAAACGAGCAATGTGGTTGTTGGAGAAATGATTGGAACTCATCGGAGAAGCGATGAAGCTTCTTGTAGTTACGCGTCGAGGAGAGCAGAGAGTCCGATTCGTCATTGGAATCCGAGAGCTGTGACGACTGATCTCGGAGTGAAGGAGAAGAAGAACACTTTGAGAGCTAAATTAAGCGAAGCGAGAACCAAGAGTTCACGGCCACGGATAAGGCTTTTCAACGGCTAAGATTTTGTTTGTAATCAGAAGAAGAAAGTGGTCGGAGATGGACACAATCTTGTCGGAAAATAGACACAACTTTGATAGTTCCATTCCATAATGTGTGGATATGTTCAAATCTGTAAATTGTTTGTAACTATATATGTATAAAATGTATATTTGTGAAATTTTATCAAATTCTTGTTTTTTTCTTAAAGAATAAAACTTGAGAATCTGTTGATCATCAACTGTTGTGGTTTCTCTGAACACTAGTTATGAAACGACGCCGTATTGTTGTCTATTTGTCTTTGTCTCTGAAGAGAGAGAGAAAGAGAGAGAGATGGCTTCGTTCAGGTGGATTTTGCAGCTACACAGAGACGTACCAAAAGCGGCTAAATTCTACGCGCAAGGACTCGATTTATCCGTCAATGTCGTCACGTTACGTTGGGCTGAGCTCCAGTCTGGTCCTCTCAAGCTAGCTCTCATGCAATCTCCCAGGTACTCGCTGTACTTAACCATCGATCAAAATGCAGATCACTTGTTCGATCATATGCCTCAACGAAAACCGTTATGTTGCTTTTGCTTTTCAGTGATCATATGGTGAATGAGAAAGGAGGATACTCTTCGTTACTATCCTTCACTGTGACAGACATCAACACAACAATCTCAAAACTTATGGAGTTAGGAGCTGAACTCGATGGCTCCATCAAATACGAAGTCCATGGCAAGGTTGCATCTGTGAGATGTCTCGACGGTCATGTCCTCGGTCTCTACGAGCCTTCATAGGACATTGATCATTCATCAGTTTTAAACTCTGTTTTGATTATTGCTAAGTGAATTTGATCGAGTTTTTGTTCCCAATAAATTTGATTATCAAGGTTTAATCAGTAATCAAAATGTTTCAGAAACTAAAACAAAAATTCAAGTTATTGCTGCATTTCTTATTGTGAAGAATCTGAACACAAATGTGGTTTAAAATTAAATCTCGATTTTGATAAATAAACAAAACCTCACTCATTGGCTCTTCCTAGCATTAGCAAGCTTAGTCCACTCCGTGTGGTAAGCACCAGGACGATCAGTTCTCTCGTAAGTATGAGCACCAAAGAGATCTCTCTGCGCCTGGACCAGATTCGCCGGCAACCTCGCACGCCGGTACGTATCGAAGTACGCAAGACTCGCGCACATTCCCGGCGTGCTTATCCCCGCAGCAACAGCCAAACCAACGACTCTCCTCCACGCGGCTTGTCTCTGAACCATCTCTTTAGCGAAATCAGGATCAACCACGAGACTCGCCAAATCAGGGTTCCTCTGGTAAGCTTTCTTGATCCTATCCAAGAACACAGCTCTTATAATGCAACCACCTTTCCAAATCCTCGCCAATTCTCCAAAATTCAATCCCCAGCTCTTCTCTAAGCTCTTAGCTCTGAGCAGATTCATTCCCTGAGCGTAGCTGCAGATCTTCGAAGCGTATAGAGCTTGTCTAACGTCATCCACAAGTCTCTTCTTATCGATTCCGTTAGAAGCAGAGCCAATCTCTTCTCTCAGTCCAGCTTCTCTCAACACTTTTGCAGCGTTTTCTCTCTCGTCTTTCAATCCGCTTAGGTAACGACAGTCCAACGACGCAGCGATCGTCGGAGCCGCCACGGAGAGCTCCGCCGCTTGCTGAACGGTCCATTTCCCGGTGCCTTTCATGCCGGTTTTGTCAAGGATCTTATCTACTAACTCTCCATCACCAAACTCGTCCTTAACCCTAAAGATATCGGAGGTGATTTCAACCAGAAAGCTCTCGAGCTCACCTCGATTCCACTCCGTGAAGATCTCCGCGAGCTCCTCGTTGCTCAATCCGCCGACGTTCTTCAACACATCGTAAGCTTCGGAGATCAATTGCATATCTCCGTACTCGATTCCGTTGTGAACCATCTTCACGAAATTCCCAGATCCGCCTTCTCCGATGTAGGTAACGCAAGGTCCGTCTTCGACCTGAGCCGCGACTTTCCCCAGAATGTCTTTGATGTTGTTGTAAGCCTGAAATGATCCGCCAGGCATTAGCGACGGACCGTTACGAGCTCCTTCTTCGCCGCCGGAGACTCCCATGCCTAGATAGAGCAATCCTTTTTGCTCCGCCTCGGAGATCCGTCGCTCTGTGTTCTGGTACCACTCGTTTCCGCCGTCGATGATGCAATCGCCGGGCTCCATGTACTCGGAGAAGGCGTCGATTGTCTGGTCAACGGGAGCCCCGGCTTTGACGAGGATGATGAGGGATCTCGGTCGCTGGATCGAGAGGACGAAATCGCGCGGCGAGTATTGCCCGGAGACTGGGAGGTTTCCTTCTGCGGCGGCTCGATCTAGGGTTTCGTCGACTTTGGATGTGGTTCGGTTGTAGACTGAGATCGGGAAACCTTTCTCGGCGATGTTTAAGGCGAGGTTCTGACCCATTACGGCGAGACCGGCGAGGCCGATTCGGGATAGAGCGGCGGACTCCATTGGAGAGAGCGTCGGATTTCGAATGAGGAAGGAAATGAGCTGTGAGTATCTGAGAGAGAGAGAGAGAGAGAGAGATAGTGAGAGAATCTTGGCGGAGATATTTATACGGTGAAAGTGACGGACTCGTCGATGAAGCGAAGAGACAAACTGTAAACTTATTTTGGTAGACGATGATCTCAATGACTCAAACGCTGCCGTTTTGTTATTTTTGACTAATGATTTTATCTAATTTGATGGCAACAAGTGGCTGGTGGATTAATTAACCATTTAATCTCTAATCATGATTATATTTAAAAATTTGTGTACATCAACTTGATATTTTAGACTTTTCAAGATGTTCAATGGTCGGACAAGTTTTTGTTGGTTTAGATCTTACAACAATTTTAATCTAATTGACGAAAACTAGTAAAAGTATTGTTGAAACTTGAAATAGTTCACGATGGCATTAGTTGCTAACATTGTTACAACGATTGCTCAATTTCCAAATACTGAACACGTACTCTTGATTATTATTATTTTGCTATTATTCGTAACAAAATTCATGAAAAAATGTCTCATTCATCAAACAGATACTAAAAAGGAAACTTAAAAAAAATATATATATTACATCAGGAAAAATATAAGAAAGATACTTATTTCTGTTTATTATATAAAGCTATTATATAAAGCTGGATGCGCGCGACGTGGTTGCGACACGTAGGATTTTTATAAAATTTAGGATTGCGACATGTGTCACTTTTAATGTTATGTCCGTTAAGATCGTGACATGTGTCTTAGAAAAAAAAAAAAATAATAATTAAAAAAAATAGATAAAGGAAAAAAAACGAAATTTTAATTTTTATAGTTAAAAGAAAAAAAAAATATTTGTCATATCCTAATAGAAAAAGGTTTCCCATTCATCAAATTTATATTATCCAAACACATATAATTCAAATAAATAAAATCCTATTAGTACATGAAATAGGTTAGGTAAACTAAATTTCCTATAACTGCATGGAATAAGTTACATGAACCCCTATAAAAAGAGAGTTAAAGTAGTCTTTTTTCTCATTCACAAACTCATCAAAGCAAACAACATGATAGCAATACGCATGATTTTTATAACTCACAAAATTGCGATATGTGTTTATATTCCCATTATGAACAGGAAAAAAAACAATATATAATAAGCTATTGCGATTCAATTATGTGCTTCTATCTTTTGTATAATCTTTTCTCTCATAAAAAATCATGTATTTAAAATTCATGGTATCAATGAATAATATTTAACTCTATATTAGTTGGATAGAAATCAAAATTATTGTCGATACATGTATCTAACTCTATATCGTTGGACAAAATTATTGTCGTTACATGTATTTGATCCGGTGAAGACATGTTAATTGGAAAAATGTTAAACAGATATAAAAACTAGAAAAATAATTAAAAAAAAACTAACTAATAATGAAAATGAAAATTTATAATGGTCTGAGTCAAAAACAAAATTGAGAAAGAAACAATATAAATAGAAAACTAACAAATTAATTATCAAGCAACTAACTTTTTTTTTGACATCATCAAGCAACTAACTAATATTAAGAAAATATAATGAACCGATATTCTAATTTTAAATAGTTTAATTTTCAATATTGTTAGGTAAAAAATTATTAAATAAAGATTTCATCAATTGAAATCTCTTGAATGGAATAATAAAGTTTTGTTGAATTAATTAATCAGTTGATCATATTTAGACATATATAAGTCTTTCTATATTGGATAAAAATAAAAATAAAACAAATTAATTCATTTTTCATATCATGAATTCAAAAAAAATATCAATTACAATAAAAACGTAAAAAGGTTACCGATCTTATTTTATTTAAATATTTTTATCGGGTTTTTAATATTATTCTGTTTACTTTAAAATGATCAAATTTGGTTTAATACTTTTCCATGATTTTATTACAAAATCTTAAAATAAACCCGCGTATACGCGGGTCTTAATCTAGTATATATATAAAAAGGTATTACAAACGACTTCGATTAGAAATTAGGATAAAATTAATCTGATGCATAATATATCATATTATTCAAATTTCTTGTAGGCAATATATATAAAATAAGTCTATCTATATAAATATATATAAAAAAAAATTTGAATGAGTCTGTAAATTTTGGGGGCCAATACAAATGTTTCTTAGGGTTGTGCAGGGCCGGCCCTGGGTGCATTGAAATATTTATTTAGCCTTACCAGTTACCACATCTGCACGTATATGTGCCGGTATTAAAGTATTTATAACAGTACTTACTAAAAGAAAGCAATGACCACTCTTAAAACCTTGTGTTTTACAATAGCTGTCACACTGACTTTTTATATCTTTACAGGTTTTATCTTCACAGTATTTTCCAATTGGATTCACATTTGGATTTGCTTCTCCGAACCCTATTCAAAAAAGTTAAGAAATTACGAATTTTATTTACCAGATAAAGAAAAAAAAAACTTTTATTTTTGTGATTTTTTAAAAACCTTTAACATTCAAATATATATAAAAAAAACAAGAAGTTATATATCTTAGTGCAAAGTTATTTTACCGAAAAAAAATTGTTGGAGAAAATGATCACCTGAAGATAAGAGAACGCATAGGAAAAAAACCAAGAAGAAAGTATTTTTGTTAGATGCCATTTTCTTATCTGAAACTTTCTGACTTTTCTTAAAAAATAAAAGTTGAATCTAGTATAGTTTATTGGAATTCTTTAAAAAGTAAGAGAAATCTTTTATACGCTTTATACAGCAAAAATTTCTAAAAATACGATTTAGGAAAAAGTAAAAGATAAATTAATCAATGATTTACCAGTTTTTTCGGTGAGAGGAATATGCTCAGGCTAAAAACTAATACGTAGTAAATTTGACTAATTTTATCAAATCACTACAAAAGTTATGAGTTTTTGTTTCTTATAAAATAATTTGGTAATAACAGATAAATTGACGATTTGTTTTCAAAAGCTAAAATCCAAAGTTTATTACTCCCTCCGTTTCAAATTAGTTGTCATTTTGGCAAAATGTATCTGCAAATATTTTGACGTATCTGCAATGCAAAATATGTCCAGATATGTCCAAATATTTACAGATACATTTTGTCAAAACGACAACTAATTTGAAATGGAGGGAGTATCAAATATAAGAACATATGATCAACAGAACTGTTTTATTATGACAACTCTATCAACCAGAATAAATAACAACAAGAAGTCACATTAACAAAAGCAGACGGTCCTTCAACACATTACAAACAATTATTGCAAATGGTGACAATGGAAAGAAA